CCCTCAGAAGCAGCCTTGGAATTATTCCTTCTCCATTGTTGTAACCTCAGATTGTCTTGGGCTTGCATTTTTATTGTTCCGGCCTCCGTTTGGATCCTCTCCATCATCCAGATCAATCAGAAGATACCTCTGTGTATTCTAGAGCCCAAGAAACCAGGATTGCCCATACCAGTGAACAGATAACTGCCTGTCTGGGTCAGAGCTCACCTCTGATGCTCAATTAGTTATCAGTGACTAAGATACAGCAGTCCCTTCTTCTTGTAGTTTTTCTTTCTGGCCATTGCAGAAATACTAATAACATTCATCAAGTTGTGAAAGGGAAACTTTTCTTGAGATGCAGCCACATATATCCCAGACTGGCCTCAGACCTTGATCTTCCTGACTCCACCTCCTGAGTGCTGGAATTTCATGTGCCGTTACATGGTGGCCAGCATATGCCACCGTGTTTATGTGATACTGGAGATTGAACCCAGAGTCCAGGCATTCTTAACTGAGCCACAGTCCAAACCCTACATACAATGTATTGTCCTAACTATTCTATTAGCTACTGTTAATCCCTCACTATGACTAATTTAGAAGCTAGACTTTATCATGGGTATGTATGTATGTATGTATGTATGTATGTATGTATGTATGTATAGAAAAAACTATAATAGGGCGCAGTGACGGGGTACTATAGGTATCTGAAGGCATCTTATGAAAAGGGAGCTGTAGCTATAAAGGCCTTGAAACATGAGCAACACCAGAAAGCCAGAGGGTGGGGAGGGTGAGTGCTAGAGGGATTAGAAATTGAAAAGGGACGGACAGGTTTTACAGGGCCTTGTGGCCACTGTGAGAATTTAGACTTCGGGGGCTGGGGCTCAATTAGTGTACCTGCCCAGAATGCACAAGGTCCTGGGTTTGACCCCCCCCCCCCACGATACTTCAAGAATAGAGGGGATTTAAACTTGACTTTTTGTTTTTCAAGACAGTTTCTCTGGCTGTCCTAGAACTTGTTCTGTAGACCAGGCTGGCCTCGAACTCACAGAGATCCGCCTGCCTCTGCCTCCTGAGTGCTAGGATTAAAGCCCGGCTTTAAAGTTTTACTTGGTAGGAAGCTTTGGACATGAAGGTTTAGGGCATGATGTGGCTTAGTTTTACAGGATTGCTCTGGTTTCTGCATTAGAAGTGGGAGGGTGGTGGGATCTTCTAACCCTTGTGGCAAGTAATCTTGGTGCTTTGCGGGGTCATAATTGGGGAGACACTGCAAGGTGTGACCTGGAGGAGCCATGTTCACTCTCTGGGGGCAGCTGAACCGTCTAGCTGTAGTGTCCTCTTTGTTAGATTTCCTTTCTGCGTGTGTGTGTGTGTGTGTGTGTGTGTGTGTGTGTGTGTGTGTGTGTGTATTAGTGTGTTACTGGGGATCAAATCCAGGGCCTCATGCTAGGCAAGTGCTCTATTGCAGTACCCCACATCATTTTGACTGCTCAGAATTCAGTCATAGGGGGGCAGGGTCCTGCTCTTGGTGCAAAGAACCACCGGGAATCTTGGGCCGTCAGAACACACAGCCACACACAGGTTGAATCCAAGCCCCTTCATTGCTAGTTTGATGACTAGAGTCTTGTTTCTTTGTGTCCTGGGTATAGTTTTCATTTCTTTAATGAATATTGAGCACCTGCTGTGTGCCAGACACTGTGTGCTGGAAAACGGAACACTGAACAAGAGAGGCCAAGCTCCTTCTTTTGAGGTATTCTAGTGTCTTAGGTCAAACAGAAGCACTGAGGAGAAACAGACAATCACAGAAGGGGTGTTTGAAATGCTGGGAAGGAACTGTTAGCATTTGGGCATCTGTACTGGCCTTAGGCATCTGTGCTGGCCTTAGGCATCTGT